TGGTGAAGTGGTCAAGTCATGTGTAAATGTGAATGAAAGCACAGTTGCATTTATTAATCATTAAGTCATATTTCTCATGTAAAATCAGCCGCAGTGAGGTTGTTGGGTTACTTTTTCATCTCTTTTACAAAATTCTGAGCCTTGTAATAGGGACTGAAATATACAACCCCCAAAATACAACGCTGCTGCTTCACACACCAGATTTGTGTTATAAAAGAACACTGATATAACTTAATGCTTTATTCATAATGAAAACATTTCTGCAAATATGACTTAATGAAGTTTAACCTTGAATTGGTTATTAACAGATGGTTCTGCAAAGTGGAATGGAACGTGTCCAGTCTTTTTTCTTGAAAAACAAATGCCGCTTGCCTCTCAGCCCCAGTCTTGTAGCTAAAGAATTGAATGTGAAGGTATGAGCTGTGTGACGATAATCATTGGTTCCTGTATATTCCTCTCATCCTTTCCCATTTCTGCCTACTTATCTTTTGGGTTTGTAAATGTTAGGAGACTGAGGTTCTCTATTTTGTGATCTGCAGACTGCTCAAGGGAAGTGATGACATAAAATACATATAACCACGGGATTCCGGCCTCTAGTTTTGACCACTCTGTAAGAATAACTATAAACTACAGTAGGCTGTCATACATATATGAAATCTTGTGACCTGTAGAGAGGCTTGCTCAGATGTCTTACATGAAAGACAGAGCAGTCTTCTTAAAGGTGCATTTTAAAATAAACCAATTTTGTTTCCAGTCTTGCAAAATGCTTACAGCAACAGCTGTTTCTTCAAAAGTCTCACATAGCAATATATCTCACTTCCTGTGATCATTCCTCCTCAGATCAGATCCTTTCCCTATCTCTTTATTTCCTCTTAAAGCACTCTCCCAGCCATGTCACCGGGGACATCACTGAATAATTTCCTCCTTGGTGAAACTGGCCGCCTCTATCTTTCCTCAGTGATGAAGTTGCCAGTCATTACTCCTGAATCAGTTACACTTACCAAGCTGTGTCATTCTCCTTGTTAGTTGCAGGAACTGGAATCCCAGCTGGGCAAAGGGCTGCAGGAAGAAAAGCAACTGCTTTTTTATTTTTACTTCTCCTTTACTCACAAGTAGCCATTCTGTCTTCCTTATTTAAAACTTTGTTTCTTATTCCCTTTATCTCCTCAGGTTCTTCCTTTCTAAGCTGACCCTTTTCCTAGCTGTGACTCCTATGTTCCTCTTCCCTCCCTTCCCCACATATTTTTGTTTGCGTACGTCTCCTGTCAAACTTTTGCCACTTTGTGCAACCTGATTTTTTTTATTTCTCAACTTGTTGCAACAAGCTAGGTTTGTATAATCTTTATGAAACCTCTCTAAGTAAAAAGAATGCAGGATAAACGGCATATAGTTTGAACTTCTAAGTTTTTAAAACTGCCCTTAAAACTGCCCTATTTAATTCTGAGGAATCAGGATTCTCCTCTGTTTAAAGACTTCTAAACTGGCCCTGGTGACAGACTTCCTTGTTTTCAATGTTGTTTCTACTTCAGGGAATAAGTAATATATTACTACTGGTAGTAGGTTCAATTAATCCATTTGTTTTAATGTAAAGTGCTTACATGTTTGGAATACCACTGTTTAAGAATTGTCTGGGCCTTTAGTGTTACCATTTTGTAATTGTGTACATTCTAATTTAATTGTTTATTATTATTATTATTATTATTATTATTATTATTATTATTAATTATATGAGAAATTGAGCAAAACCAAACTTAGAACATTTATCATTTCTCTTTTTAACCTTTTGGTTTATATAATATGAACCATGTTTCGTATCTTTGACAGGCATGTTCCTATTTCAGTTCTAATGCAGTTCCTCTTAAAATTGCTTTGGTGAATGCAGATCCTTTGGGAGAAGAAATTAATGTCATGTTTAAGGTACGTGTTTGGTTTCAATTACAGATATTTCCCCTCCAGTGCTATAAGTAGTATTAATTCCATGAGGGAAAATGTTCTGACTTTTTATGGTCATAAAGAGCCCTCTGGATGCTTTAAGCATTTTTAGGGAANAAATATCAGCAGAGGTCCCTATGCTTCCAGGAGTCTTCTGTTTGGATGCTGGCCTGGCATTTTAGAATGCAAACTCTGCTCAGCCTTTTTTTTTTGCAGCCAATTCTCTTTCAAGCTGCCAAGGAGTATATTGAAAAGGCAGAAGGTGGTGTGTGTTTTTTAAAAAGCCGGATCAAAGTCCTCGTACTTGTTCTAAATGGCAAAATCCTGGAATTCGTTGGCAAAACTGAATTGGCTTCCTTTTGCTGCTGTACTGAGACTGCTGGTTTTATTTTAAAACCACATTTATCCTCATTGAAAAAAGGTTGCTGGGCAAAGCTTTGGTATTTCTTTCATTTGCATTATTACAGTTCCAGGTTAGAAGTATTATTGGCTGAAATAAGTCTATCTTTTTGTGAAACTGAGAGAAAGGAATTCCACAAAGGGCACTCATTTTAGTATTTTGAATCCAAAATACTTAACTAGGCCCACTTAAATGCCATTAAAACCAACAGCAGTTGGATATTAAAAATTGAGATTCATTGTATTTCAGTTGGTTGGCCAAAAGTTGGCAAAATTTCATTGCAATCCTTAACTGGAGATTCGATGAGAAATTTGGTGAAGGATGAAGCCTGATTCCTACCATTTTTTCCTACAGCTGAAATTGGGGAGTCAGCTTCCTTTTCACTTTTTCCCTGTTTTTCTTTCCAGTGATCCCAGTGAGAGAATTGTAACTTCCCTAGAAGTTGTGACAACTTTTAAGGATTTCATCCATGTTAGGTTTGGTGACTCTAGGGAGCCTTTTGATACAATGCACTTTTGGAATGGGGCTTTCTAAGTTCTATTATTAGAGACATGTCATTCTGCAGATGTTACACCATGCCCATGACTCCCTCCATAAAAGTCTGGGAAACAATAACTTCTGCCACATCATTCTTCTCAGTAAACTTTAGGAAACTTGTTAATCTTGATTGCACCCAAATGAATTTATTCCATTTTTTAAAACAGAGCTGACTGAGTCCTGTTTTATGTTTTACATTTTAATACTATCCCAAATTGTAAGTCTATGCCGCCCACATCTTTAAAAATTAACAGCAGACTTCAATTTTTTCCCATTGGTTTTTTTTAAAGAATACTCTTTAGATCTGCTAAAATATGCACTTCAGACTAATTGCACTGAAGAGCCTGCCATGCATAATTTCCTCCACAATAAAAAAAAAACTAGGCAGGACAATGTATTTACAAGATATTCCTTCTTGATCCTGATTAAAATGTAAGAGCTGGTGCTTTGCTGACATTAATCCAGTAATTTGTTTAATTTCTTCCAAGATGCTTCTGAAAAATGGCAAAATTGCCAGGGTGGATATTTGGTAAGCGAGAATGGAGCCATGTGCAAAATAGCACTGTCAACGTTTCTACATCTCCTAAATAACTCTTGAAAGGACACAGATTTCTAAAGGAGCCAGTCAAACATACCTAAACTGAAGGGCTGCATCTACAGTAACATTATGCAAACAGTCTGCTGTTCATTTGATAAATTTGCTCTTCCTGACTTCCTCACATTCATGCAACAGTTTAAGACAAAGAATCTCCATCACTTTTCATCGCAGTTGGTACAGTGTATTCCATCTCCCCCCACCCCATATACGTATGTATGTATGTGTGTATAGATGATGATGATAGACATAGACAGATGATAGATGATAGAGACAGAGGTTTTTTCCATATAGAAAAATATAGATGTTCTAACCTAGGCTTCCTGATACGGTAAAATGCAAATCCAAAAACCCTCTCTTATTGCAAAGGCTGTGAATTATATTCATTCACAACCCGTAATGAGTTCCAAATAGTAAAGAGTTCTACAGGAGGCTGCCAAAGTCTTTCGGGATAAGGCTGATAAGCATCCACCTTTATCTTCTTTAAAAATG